GCGGTTCAATCCCCCAGCACCACATGCCAGCCAGCCCCGCCCCCTGGTGGGCTGAGCTGGCCACACACACACACACACACACACACAATAAATAAATGTAAAAAAAAAAAAAAAAGACATTTAAAAAAAATCTCTTCCTGTAGCTAAGCAGCAAAGTTGCCCAGGCTGGGCTTGAACCTGTAATCCTTTGGCCTCAGCCTCTCAAAGTGCTGGTTGGGGCGTGGGCCTCTTACTGTTGAAGGAAAGACTTTTATTTATTTATTTACTTATCTATTTATTGCGGAACCGGGGTTTGAACTCAGGACCTTCGATTGCCAGGCAAGCGCTTATTCTACTGAGCCGTCTCCCCCGCCCCAGGAAAGGCTTTTAAAGGAAAAACAACAACAACAAATAAAAAACCCAGGCGTCTGGCTGTCAGGACCTCAGGCATGTGACCTCCACTCAGAGCCCCATCCCCTCCTCTGGGAAGGGCGGGCAGTAACCTTGTAACAGCGGAGTTGCCTCAGCAGTAGGCCAGCAACTGTGGCAGGGGCCCTGGGGCGGGTAGGGCATAGAGATTTCTCTTTGCCTGAGCCTGGGGTCGCACGGCGACCTACAAGGAAGCCGAGAACCCTGGGGAGTCCCCGGGCCGGCACCACGCCGGCTCTGCAAATGGCCCTGAACGAGAACCTCGCCCGCCCCGCCCTCCCCTCCGCTTCATCCCACCCACCCCACCCCCGGCGCCGCTTTTGAAGGCGCTGCGCAGCTTAACAGCGGGAGCCTTTCCGCCCCTCTCTACCTGCAGCCGGGAAGGACAAAAGGAGGCTGACGGGAGGGGACACTGGCGGCGACGGGCAAGCCTGGAGCAGCCCTCGCCGGGGTGGCCTGCCCGCCAAGTCACGCGGGGCTGGGGTCCGCAGCGGGACCCCGGGGAACTCAGGCTGCGGGGCGCTCAGGCGGGGCCCGCAGCCCGCCCGCCCCCGTCCGTCGCCAGGCGGAGAGCCCTTGCCCGCTGTGCGCGCCGCCAGCCGTCTCCTGGCCCGGTCGCCCTCCGCGCTTTCCCACGCTCACCTCCTGGCTGCCCGGGTCCGGCCGTTCCAGCAGCCTCGGCCCGCGCTGCGGCTATGCCAGGCACCAGGCCAGGGCGCAGCGGGTACTGGGCACAGCGCCTCTCCCCCACACACACACCACATTCCATTAAAATCCCCGCGCTGTAAACAAGAAGCCAGCCGGAGCAGGCAGCCCGCTAAAGGCAGACTTGGTCTCCGTATCCTTTTGCCTCGGCCACTTCCCCACGGCAACACAAGAAAAGAACCCTTCCGGCCTCATTTAGTGAGCAGAGTGCTGGGGCCCCAAGATTGGGTCCCTCCGCTGGAAGCCTGTGGGAAGAGGGGCGTGGTGCAAGGACCCTGAGGAAGGCTGGCTGGGCTGGAGGAACCCAGCAGGCTTTTGAACAAGCAGCATTTACTTTTCACTATAGTGGAGGGGTCGGGAAGACAGCTCAGTAGAATAAGCGCTTGCCTGGCACGCGCAAGGGCCTGAGTTCAACCCCCGGTTCCGGGGGGGGGGGGAATGTAGTGGAGGAGGATGTTTGCTGGCCAGGAAATATGTGCAGACTTCAGGAAAGAAGCTGAGACCTCTGCACAGGGTGATCCTCACAGTCGGCGGGGGGCGGGGTGAGAAGAACGGGGAGGAAGCGCTGCATTCCGCCTTTGCAATCCCAGTCCTCAGGGAAGCTGAGAGGATTGCAAGTTCGAGTCCCTCTTGAGCAATTTAATGAAACACAGTATCAAAATAAATAATAATATTAAAAAAAAAAAACTGGGGTTGGGGCCGGGGAGATGGCTCAGTGAAATAAGTGCTTCTCTGGCAAGTGCAAGGGACTGAGTTCAGTCCCTCCCTGGTTCCGCAAAAAAAAAAAAAAAAAACAACTGGGGCTGTAGCTCAGCAGTATAGTGCCCTTGGGTTTGATTCCCCCAGTATTTTTTTTTGGGGGGGGGGCAAATGTGAACAGAAATACCTAAAGCAGGAAAATGGGAAAGATGTACCCCAAATGTTGGTCACTTCAAGATCATAGGGAGCCCTGCCTGGCAAGTGCAGGGTCCTGAGTTCAATCCCTGGTACTGAAAACAAAACAAAACAACAACAACAACAGAAAAAAAAATCATAGGGAAGGCTTGTGAGATAGCTCAGTGCCGAAGCACCTGCTTCAGTAAGCTTAGCTAAGCGCAAGGACAGTGGTTCTATTCCCAGCGCCACATGCTGCACCAACCCTTCCCTCAGGGTGAGCTGAGCTCACCACACAGTCCGGGCTTAAGGGCTCAAGTTTGTAATCCTAGTGCTGGGAAGGCTGAAAAACAGGAGGATCACCAGAGTCTGAGCAAGTAGTGAGACCCTGCAACAACCAAAAACATTTTAAAAAGAAAAAAATCACAGGACATGGTGGTGCATGCCTGTAATCCCAGCACACAGGAGGCTGAGGCAGGAGGACTACTGTGAGTTTCAGGCCAGCTTGGGCTACATAGTGAATTCAAAGTTAGGGGCCGGGGAAATGGTTCAGTAGAATAAGCACTTGCCTGGCAAGCGCAAGGGCCTGAGTTCAATCCCTGGTTCCACCAAAAAAAAAAAAAAAAAGCCTGAACTGCGTAGAAAAAAACCCTGTTTCAAAAAGATTTAAAAAAAATCACAGGATTATAAACGATTTCTCTTTTCCTCTGTGTACTATTTTACAGTCTGCAAATTTTCCACAGTGAATTACTGCATTCATGTGCATTCAGAAAATCACAATGTGGAGACTGGGGGTGTACACAGCAGTAGAGTGCTTGCCTATACCATTGTAGGCCAGGGGTGGATCCCCAGCACTGAAAACACCCATGCATAAAAAACAGAAAAGGGCCAGGGAGATAGCTCAGTAGAATAAGCGCAAGGGCCTGACTTCAATCCCTGGTTGGGGGTGCGGGGAAGAACCAGGAAAACCCACATATGCAGGGCCGGAATGCTAGGAAACACTTCCACCTACTGGCCTCAGATGGCCACCAAGCACAAGCACAGTGACAGAGTTGGGCATTTCTTTTTTTTTTTTTGGTGGAATTGGGGATTGAATTCAGGCCTTTGTGCTTGGCAGGGAAGCACTTATTCCAGTGAGCCATCTCCCTAGCCCTTGGCATTTCCCTACACATGGTAATGAAGGCCAAACAGGGCCTGTGCTGGTTGTGTTGGACTGGGAGGAGGCCCCAGCTCTCCCTGCCCTTGTACTCCACACCTAACTGGTAGGAATTCAGCTGCCCCCCCCCCCCAATGCTCCCAGCTCTGCCCTCAGAGTTGCCCTGGCTGGATTTGTCAAGGAAGGATTTCCAGAAGGGCAGGTACCTCCAAATTGCTGTGACCAGCTATTGCTATTCCCAGCTGGCTGCAAGACAGCTTAGGACCTGGGCCAGGACCAGACCGAGAAAGGTCATGGGCCTTAGACTGTGCCAGCATCAGGGAAGGAGACAGGGAGGACCAACAGGGGCTGCTGAGGGGTGGAGTGGAGGATCCTGGGAGCGAGGGATGCAAGCTGGCAGGCCTGGCCCCAAGCTGGGAGCTTCCTGCAGAGCTCAGAGGCCAGATCCTCTCTGGCTCTGGAAGGACAGCCTGGGGATGGGGCTGGGAGGGCGGCTGGTGGTGCAATGATTGGGCCTGGGGAGAGGAGCACAGAAAGAAGGAGGTGAGGTGGTCTTATACCACCTCCAGTGCAGTGCTGGGGACATTGTCCCGGTGCAGCATTACCCATCCCCTGCCCCCTGGAGCTATAGAACTACTACTGCTGAGGTCCCTGAAGATGTGTGGGTGACAAGTGAGCCAACAGCCCCAGAACTTCCCCTCGCACCCAGAGTAAGGGAAAGGACCAGGACAGGCCACTGTCTTAGCTATTTGTCCCTGCCTGACTGTCACGGCCAGGAAAGAGGTTAGAATCAAAGTAGATTAGACTCTGACTCTAATTCAGCCATTTCATACTAGCTTGACCTTGGGCAGGTATTTAAACCGTCCAGGACTCAGTCTTTCCATCATTAAAGTGGGAACAGTGTACATACAGAATATAACCAGAAAGGAGCTCGTAGGCCTGTGCATGTGGTATGGTTACCCTGTACCTAGTTCACTCAGCACTGCGCCTGGCACACACCTGGTAACCGCTGGCAGCAGCTAGCAAGGCTTCCTCCCATGAAATTGACACAAGCTGGGCACAGCTCCATCTCGTCCCTGCCTTCCAAGTGTCCAGGGTTTGTGAGCAGCCCTTGAATGAAAGGCTCGGAGGGTGGCTGGTGGCGAGAATGCATCTCACTCTGGGTGAATCTCTGCTCCGTGAGGATCCTTCCTGCCCCGGGGGTCTCAGGTTAATCGCATTAGCTCTCCCAGGCTGCCCCATTCCCAGCCAGTCAGCCTGTGGTCTCCCTCCAAGATGCCTTTGAAGCCTGGGTCCTTTGATGTGGGTGGGGGTGGGGGGCGTAGGGGGAGAGGCGCAGGCGGTGGGGGTTGCGACCTGCCACAGGACTTACACAGCACGAGGTGCAAGTGGCTCCACCCCTTTCGGGTCACCCCAAGCATAGGGTTTGGAGTCAGAGTGCTGGGCTGCCACCCCAGCCCTGCTACAAACTGTGTGACCTTGGACAAGACATCCGGCCTCTCTGGATCTCAGCTCCTGCATCTTCAGAAAGATGACAACAGACAGACGCATGGACCTCACAGGTTGTTAGAATCCCAGAGAGAGAGAAGAGATTATGGTCCATATCCCATCGGTCCTAATGGGGCTCCCTGGAGGGGTCAGGATTGCTTTGCTAACCCCAAAGTCTTAGAGCACTTCTAAGCTTAAAGAGAAAGAACATCAAAGTTTAATTATTTTTTTTTTAATTTTATTTATTTATTTTTGTGTGGCCAGCTCAGCCCACCAGGGGGCGGGGCTGGCTGGCATGTGGTGCTGGGGGATTGAACCGTGGTCCCTGTGTTTTGCTAAACTTGTTCTAAGTAGGTGCTTTAGACCACTGAGCCATCTCACCAGCCCAAAGTTTAATTATTGAGGGGTTGGGGAGATAGCTCAGTAGAGTAAGTGCTTGCCTGGCAAGCACAGGGTCCTGAGTTCAATCCCCAGTACCACAAAAAAAAAAAAAAAGTTTAATTATTGAAAGTTTTTTGCCCTCATTAGTTTTCCAAATTTTAAATAATAACATTTATATTTTAAATGTTTAGGAGTAAGGATTGCTCAGTAGCACAGCACTTGCCTAACATACAAAAGCCTTGTGGGAGGAGGGTTGTGGGTTAGCTCAGTTGTTTAAATGCCTGCTAGGGCAAACCCAGTCAGGTGCTGGGAACTGAGGTTCAGTCCCCAACTCCACCTGCCTTAGCCAGAGCCAGCCAAAAAGGAAAAAAAAAAATCCTTCTCTCTCTCTCTCTCTCTCTCTCTCTCTCTCTCTCTCTCTCTCTCTCTCTTCTTTTTTTCCCCCGGAACCAGGGATTGAACTCAGGCCTGGTGCTTGCCAGGCAAGCGCTTATTCTACTGAGCCATCTCCCCGGCCAAAAATCCTTCTCAACTGTAAAAAAAAAAAAAAAAAAAGGCTATGGGAGTCCTGGTACCAAAAATAAAAAGGGACTGGGTTTGATCCCCAGCAGTGAAAAAAAAAAAAAAAATGCGGGTTATTAAATTAAAGTTTAAACTGGGAAGATGGCTCAGAGGAATAAGCACTTCCGGGGCCGAGGAGATGGCTCAGTGGATAAGCGCTTCCCTGGCAAGCGCAAGGGCCTGAGTTCAATCCCCGGTTCCGCAAAAAAAAAGAAAAAAAGGAATAAGCACTTCCCTGGCAAGCACAAGGACCTGAGTTTGGTACCTGGTTCTGCAAAATTAATTAATTAATTAATTAATTAAAGTTTATTGCCGGGCTGGTGAGATGGCTCAGTGGTCTGAAGCACCTACTTAGAACAAGCTTAGTGAAGCCCAGGGACCACGGTTCAATCCCCCAGC